TACAGGCAAAAAATAAGTGTTTCAAAATATATTCATACTTTTAATCAATTATTTAATCAGGGTTAAGTATCTTGCTATGTTGAATGTACATCAAAAGTGACTTATTTAGTCATATGTATGTTAGGGACTATTATACATTGCATTAATTAATATATCAATTTTATTTTCACTTAAAATTTTTGTTAATACTATTAGGTCTCTTCAACTTAAAAATCACACGTGTCAATAATTTGGAACGTGGAACAAATTTTTGTTTAAGGATACCTTTTCAATTTTATACTCTTCTATATAGAATACTGTTCATCACAAATGCAAGCACATGATGTGAATCATGGAGGCTATAATCATGAGTTTATGGTTCCTGTATGCTTATAACTAAAATAAAATGTTTGTAAAAATAATACGAAGCACTGAAATATTTTAATCTATAATCCATTGACAACACAATTTCCTATAGTTCATTTTTATTTAATTTGTTTAAAAAGGCAAGTACGCACAACGCAAAGCACAAAAACAGTTAGTAACTCACCTAAAGAGGAGATATAAGAAGAATAACTTTTAGTTAGCCTTTTGTCCTGAGGAGTTGCTTTACTTGTCCACACAGTTCTCTCTCGGACGTTTCAATGGCCTGTTTCAATGAAACTTCACAGAACTGACTGTGGATAATGCAACTGGATGCAACGATGCAGCACTTGAAAATGATTTTCGGCTAAGCAGGGAAACTGAGGCCAAGTATAAAAAGAACTATTCTAGTGACTAGTTTTTTAATCGAACTTAAACTAGTTACTCTAGGTGGCACGTCGATAGTTCGCCGTGTTAGACCATGTGCATAAGAATAGCCAAACAGTGAAGTAAGATTTGATGATTTCCTATTTCAGCGCGTCGACGGTAGAGGGACGATCCTCAGCTCGAGAGAACGTTACCACAGCGTTCAGCGTTACCGATAGTTCAAAAAGAATAGGCACGTTAGCAAGAAGCGAATATACTGTATATTTCATTTCAACTACGAATGCTGAATATTATTTGGAGGCGATAAACGTTTACGGCGCTTGATAATACCATTATCTGATCGTCAATAATAAGTACAATTTTGTCTTTGTTAATAGTTGGTAATATCATGTACGTTATAATGTTGTCCCACAGAAGCTGAGCCACCACCATGTCTGAATAATGTGATCTTTCTGGAGACAATATTGTAAGCATTTATATACTTCTTGTTGTTAGCAATTAAATTATTGTTATAAAAACATTATCATCCAGCTAGTAATGTTTTTTTTGATAAAGTTTAATTAAACTCGCAATTGTGCAGTTCTTTGTAAAAAAATATGTTCCGCTTTTTTTATTAAATGTCTGCAAAAATTTCGTGCTACGTGCTTTATTAAATAGATATCTAAAGATATAATTTTTTCGTATTGCAATTTTCTATCCATATTATCAAACAGTTTCCTAGTTTTGTTAGTAAAAAATCTTTTATATGACCAAAGTTCCTTAAACTGAATAATGAACGAACAGCAGCTTTGTAATTGTAATATAAATTTTACTATTATTTTTTGTAATT